CGGGGCCCCGGGGCTGTTGTCCAACGTCGGCGCAGCGACGGGCCCGGCCCGGGAGGTGCTGAGGGACGCTGCTGTCTGGAAGGGCGATCGCGGTCCAGGTGAGACGGGATGCTGGGCGCGGGCGCGTCCAGCCCTGCCTTCAACCTTCTGCAGAGGTGGGATTTCCATACTGACCCACTTCATCAGGTTATCGGGAGCTCCTCTCCGCCCCAGTCCGCGAGATGACGCTGCTTTAGTCAGCCCCACAGAGAGGGCGGAATGACTTGTCACCTCCCCTTTGCTGCCGCACTGACCAGGCTGCCTGCGCGTCCGGGCCGAGCCAAGCTCGTGGTCCCGGGTGAGCTGTGCTTCTGTGAGCCTTCTCTCTGAGAGACGCCTGGGTCCGGCTTGTTCATCTTCAGGACTTCTGCGTCTGTGTCTCTGGATGAGGCCTTTCTGTCCTTGTACTTGGGGGAGGTCTTCTGTGTCTGTAATGCTCCCCGCCGCCATGCTCTCTCCAGCTCAGCCGTCTAAGCTGGACGGGGCCCCATGACCCGGGGCCAGCTGTCACTGTGGGTGCAGCTTCCTGGGTCTGGGTGGGCCTGAGCCCACCTGTGCAGCCCGGGGGGTTCTGGAGGGGGTCCTGATGTGTGAGGTTGGTGGCCACTGGCAAAGTCACCAAGGGGGCAGAGACCCCCTGAGCCTGCGGAGGGGGGGCCCCTGCAGCTGGGTCACAGCCTGGTGCCTCAGCCGCACGTACCCCTTCGCACGTCCCGTGAAGCCCCCGTTCTTCTTTCATGGGGCCCAGCCTCCGAATTCCCTGCCACTGCCGCACTGAGCAGCAGCACTCGCTGGGGGGACAAGTTGGAAGGTTCTCTTCCTTCCATCTGTGCTGCCCCCGGGCCCCGCTGGCCTGCTATCCCCTGATCGCCGCCTCCGGCAGACCCCAGAGGAACCAGCTAGGAAGAGTCGGGTTCAGGCCCTGCAGATCTCCGCGCCCTTGTCCCCTCCCGGATTGGACGTGGCCTGTGGCCTGGGACGGGGTGGGGAGGGTGTGGCTGGCCTTCCCCTGCCCTCCCCCTTCACTGCATCCAGTGTGCGGTGGTGGGAAATTGCAGGGAGGAGGCCGGCCTCCTCTGCTGGCCTCTGTAGCCTCCTGGGCTGCACTGAGCGTCCATCTGTGTCCCCAGTTTGTTTTCCGTCCCACCATCACGTTCGTGGGCACATGTGATTCTTCCAAAGGTGCTGTTAGGGAAAGGCCCCCTCTGCGGAGAGCCCTGACCTGGGGCACCGGGCCCCAGCTGGACCCTTTCCCTGCACCCTGCAGTGTCCCCTGTAGCTGTGGTCCCTCATCACCAGGCGACCCTCTGGGGTGGGGAGCTGACAAGGCAGCTATGCCTGGCCCCTTATCGTGGTGACCATCAGTGGGCACCGCAGACAGTCCCTGTGGCCGCTGTCTGCCCCGCCCACTCTCTCCCCTCGCCGCTCCCCGGCACCTGCGGGCCCAGGACACAGGGCCGCCAGCCCCTTGCAGGAGATGAGATCCAAACTGAGAGTGGGGCCTGTGTCCTTGCTGACTCACCCAGTCTCCTGGGGATTTGGCCTTGTGGGGGAGGGAAGTGCAGCTTATGCCCTGCAAGGAACGTGCACAGTCCTGATGACTGCGGACCCCTGTCCTCCTGGCCATCTACAGATTCAGCCGGGTGGGGCGGGGCGTGAGGGGCCCCTGGGGGCAGGGATGGAGCTGCAGGCTATGCCTGGCCCCCATTGACTCCTGGCTTTCTTTAGAATGTAGGCTTCGGGTGCTTCTCTGCTGTTAGCTTTGGGTCCTGGGCCCCAGTTCCTGCTAAAATAAAAATCTCTCTCAACACCCTGGGCTACTGAGAAGCTCAGATAAGGCGGTGACTCACCGCAGGCCACACAGGGGCCCTGATTAGATCTGAGGCTGGCTTCCCGCCTCTTCTTTCCCAGATAGGGCTAATCTGTCCACCCGTCTCCCTTGTTCTGTCATCTGTGGACACAAAAGGTGATCTGGAGCAAGGATCTGGGTGCAGAGTGACCCCAGAAAGCACAATGAAGGTGCGAGGCAGGGGAAGGAGGAGAGTCACCAGCAGGGGGAGTGTTCACGAGCGAGTCACCATGGGGGACCTGGGGCCCAAGCCAGCGGGGGGGAACCTGAAGGGACGGTGCAGAGCACCCCTCAGAGGTCCCCGAGGGGGCGAGGAAGCCAGGTGTTCCCCCAGCCATCCTGCCCGTTAGGGGCTGAGGTTAGCTCCAGACACTCAGGGGCCCTGCACTCGTGGGCCAGGTGCAGCCCTGGGGCCAGGAGCCCTCTGTGTGCAGGGCTGACCACGGAGGCCGCAGTGACCGCCCTCGGGGGCTACAGGGCGGCTGGCAGGGAATGGACGTTGGTTGCCACTGGACCCTTCTCTGCCGTCCCTCGGAGACCTAACAGAAAGACAGGCAGACCTCGGGGAACGCCGCAGCTAACGGCAGTCCCGTCCTTGGGTAACCCCTCTTGCCTCCAGCATCAGTGTGTGCGTGCTGCGTTTTCACAAGCCAAATAGGCTCACGAAATTGGCCCCTAGACTGAGAAACAGCCCAGGCAGCCCCCGAAAGTCCCCTCTGTGCCTTTCCAGTCACAGCCACCCTGAGGGTATCCGCTCCCGACTTCCAGTGGAACAGATTCGTTTTGCCGGTTCCAGGACTTCATAAACAGTGGACTCCTCCGTGCGTAATCCTTCACACCGATCCCTTTGGCCAAGTTGGTGAGCGATAGCCACGCTGCCGTGTGTGGCCGTAAATTGCTTTCCCTGCGGTATCGTCTGCAGCTGCGTGGACGCTCCGTGACCCGCTGGCCTGTCTGGTCTGCCCGTGGGTATTCAAACAGCTTCCAGCTGAGGGAAGAGCGGGCAGGCCTGCTGGGGAGACAGGGCCCGCTCGCACGCATGGTTCTCCCCCAACAGGCCTCACCCCCATTTCACAGACCACAGAACGGAGGCCCAAAGAGGGAGCCCCTTGCCCCACGTCACACAGCTTGCGGGTGGTGGATGGGACCCGAGCCAGGTTCTCCACGGGAGACCTTCTGCCGGCTGGCAGCAGGCGGTGGGGACGACGTGGGTGGATACTTTGCAGATTTCCGGACACGAAGTGGTGAGTGGGGCTGAGGCCTGCTCCTCCCCTTGAAGCTGTCTAGCCGGCTGGGCAATGACAGCCATCCCATCCATTGTCTGATCTGCTGAGGGAGGCTGTACCAATGCCCCGTTTTCTCTAGGGGAAGGCCAGGACGCCCCTACCTGACTGCTGAGAGCCCTGCAGGGCACCGCAGTGTGACCCCGGGCAGGGAGCCTCTGGGCAGTGCGGTGGCGCGTGGTCCAGCCCCTGCCCCCCGGCTGTGTCTGAGGGCTTGCGACCGTGACCTCCAAGACTCCCAAGTTCTTCATCTGTTAAACGGGCCTGGTGGCAGTGCCTGCCTGGAGGGTTGGCGTCAGCCTTGCACGAGCCAAGGAGGGAGCATGTTTCGACTGGCAGCTTCAGGCCCACAGGAGACTCAGACGAGGGCCTGGCGCGGCCGGGCCGGGTTGGGGTGGCAGGGGTGCTCTCCTCACAGCCCGTGTGTCTGGCATTCTGGTGGGGCCCAGGTGCCGAGGGCGTGCTGGGGATGCTGCCTGCCGCCTGCCGCCCCTCCTCCCCACCCCTCCGCCCGCGTGTGATTTTGTTCAGCTGCAGCCAAGCTGTCGTTGGGACGTCATTTGAAAGAGCCCAGAACACGGTCCCTTTGTTTCGTCCAAGGTCCGTCTGCTCCCTAGGCCTGAAATTGTGGGTCAGACCTCAGACTGGCCCTCCAGGGAAATATCTGTGATGGGAGGAAGGCCAGGGCTCGCCTCTGTTAGACGGGGAAACAGACAAGGCAAGAGACTTGTCCAGAGAACTTGTCTGGACTTGAACCCAGCTCCCTGACTCCCAGTCCTGTGCCCTCCCCTCCTCTACCCTAATGTCAGTTCCTAGTGGTCCCTGGGACCCCTGCCCTGGGTCTGTGTCAGTGCAGCCACTTTCTTTAACAGCCCCACGCTGCCCCGTCCATCCTTGTCTTCTGCAGAGTGTTTTGGAGAGCTGGCTCTGGGCAGCCACATTCCCATTACGGGGAATATAAGTGAGCAAAACAGTCACAGTCCTAACCCTCAGGGAGTTTGGTGTCTGGTGGCAAAGGCTGGTGAGCCTCCTGACACAGGAGCAGTGCTGGGGGACAGAGCACACAGGCACTGCGGCCCCTCAGTCTGGGTAGGGGTGGGGGAAAGCCAGGAGGTCTTCCTGGAGAAAGGATGTTTTAGCTGGGACCCCTAGGCTGAGAGAGGAGCAAGCAGGCAAGGACGTGGGGCCAGTGGGTAGATGGAGGGTGTTTCTGGCAGGTGGAACAGCACAAGCAGGAGCTGGAAGGTTGCAGGGAGCAGGGTGTGGACAAGCCAGTGGAAGCAGCCCTGCAGGGGCGGAGGGGAAGGGAGACTGAGAGGAGAGTCGGGAACACTCTGTCGAGGGCAGGCGCAGACGGGAGCCCAACCACTGTAGGGCCTTGCTGGCCTGGCCGTAGGGCGTGGGCTTTACTCTAAGGCCCCTGGGGAGCCACGGAAGCGCTAAAGGCAGGGAGTCACGTGGCCAGACTGTGCTTTAGAAATCAGTAATCGCTGAGAAGAAAACTCTATTTTAAGGGGCAAAAAGATACGAGCAGAAATTTCCCGCAAGAGAAAATGCAGATGGCTGGCAGACACGTCAAGATGCTCGTCCACGTTAGTGACGAGGGACACGTGAAGTAAAGCCACACTGAGATACTGTCTCACACCTGCTGCACGGGCCAGTGTTAACAAGGGTTGCCGGGGAGGGGCAGCGTGCGGCAGCAGCTGGCGGGAGCATGTGTTGGTACAAACGCTCGGAGAAGGCAGCTTGGCTTGAGCTGGTGAGCTTGAACACGTGTGCATCCGTGACCCAGCGCTACCCTCCTGGAGGCTGGCCCTAGGGGGTTGGTACAAATCTCACAGGAGGACTGGTGCAAGGGCGATCACAGCAGCATTGCTTGTAGCAGGAAAAAATAAACAGCCTAAATGTCCATAGACCAGAGGCTCGCCCGGCCTGCTGGGGGCAGTGGACTATTACACAGCACTGAAAAGAAATGAAGGCCCGCTGCAGACTGCCCCGGGCGCTCTCCCCAGTGCAAAGAGGACCATTTACAGGAGGTCTATTTTAATCAAGTTCAAAACAGCCCAAACTACGTAACAGTTTAGGGGTGCACCTGGAGCTAGTCACACTTTTAAGGAAGCTTAGGGGGAGTCTTCAGCTGGGGAGGGGCCTGGGAGAGGACATCTGGATCTGGAAGGCCCTGTCTTTCACAATCCCTCCCGGTATTTTCACATAACTGGAATCAGCCACTGGGCTCGTGTCACATTCTCTCCTGCTGGCTTAACATTTTTGCAATGGGTGTAGCCTGCTTGTTTCATTATTAGTCACCAGCCACAGGCGACGAGGCTCCCATCAGGCCCATGTTGCTTCCACGGGGCTGCCGTGGCCTCTGGTGCCCAGCCCGGCAAGAGTCGGGGACCGTGAGAGGTTCGGGGGTCTCTGGGCTGTCACTGGCTGGACTGGCTCTGGGCCTGAGAGCCCATCGCTGACGAGCTTGACAAAGTCTCCCTGTGCCTGTTGACAGTTTTACAGAGAACATACTTTAAACACGTGTGCCGACAGCATCCAAATCGAATGTAAAAGACGTTGACTTCAAACCCAAGGATGCAAATTCACCTGCCCTGTTGGGGTCATTCATAGATTCCCTGCCAGCATCTGCCAGCAGCCCCCAGTTTCTGTTTAGAGGTTCGTCACCCCCCTTAAGGCTTTGGGGAGAGCGTACGACCTGGGCTGAGCCCATCAGACGGCCCGCTCTTCTGGCTGCAGCGACTGGTCCAGGCCCAGGCCCCTGACTCAAGCCCCTCCAGTTGGAGAGAAGCTTAAGACCAGCGGGCTAGTGCTTCATTTTTGTCTGAACTTGAAGGGCTGTGGGATGGAGCTGCTGGGAATCTTGGTCACCAGGAGAGGTGCTCTTGGTGGAAAATGGAGGAGAGGGGAGGAGAGCTGAGGGACAAGTGGGGGAGAAACTTGTTCCTGGAGACATTTGAGCATCTGGATCCAGCTATGCTTGAAGTTCACCTCTGTATTTTTTCATTATGGAATTCAATATCTTCCTTTTTTGACTTAAGCCTCTTTGAGTCAAGTATACTGTGACTTGTGGCAGAAGGCCCAGCCCGGCACCCCTCAGCAACTCGTCAGTGGCACCTGAGCTGGAAGCTGGGGGACCATCCGAGCATCTCCCTCTCCCTGGCTCCCAGCATCACACCTGTCTGTGCAGTTTCTCCCCTCAGTATCTCTTCAATCCTACCGCTCCCTCATGCCACCACCCTCGTCCAAACTCCCACTGGGACCCTTGCACCTTGGCGTTTCCCACTAAAATTCTCTAGCAGCTCCCTGCAGCTCTCCGAGTGAACACCACATCTTCTCTCTGGGCTGCACAGACAGCCCTAGGGCCTCGTGCTCAGCGGCTGGCCCAGCCCTGGGACAGGCGCAGGCTGAGCTGGCTGTGGGGACTGGGGGAGCTGGGGTGGGTCCTGGGGGAAGGCAGTACCCCCGGGGCTCTGACTGAGGACGCACAGGACGATCTGAAGACCAGAGTGTGGGCTGGAGCCCAGGGAGGAGTCCCCTCTCCGTGGGAGGGAGACTTGTCTCTCCACACCGAAGACCCCATTTTCTGGCTCCTTCTACTGGGTTGAGCTGGGGCAGGAGGGTCTGGACTCCTTCCACTCAGGGAAGGGTGTTCGGGGCCCTGCCCCCCGGCGTTACTACAGCCAAGTGGGGCCCGGGGGTCTCAGGGTGGGATGAGGAAACAGCCTGCTGGGCGGGGGCCAGGGCCCTGGTCTGGGAGGCCGAGACCGGAGGACCCGGAGTCCAGGGTGGGGGTGGGGTGGGCGGTGGGCCTGGGGCTTGCACAAGCTGCCGGGGGCGGGTGGGGCAGAGGGAGCCTGGATGCGGACCCAAGCTCAGTGCTGAATGCCAGTGTCGTCACCCGTCCAGGCTGGGCACGCGGCGCTGGGCCTCCAGTGTGTGGGGGGCGAGGGGCGCGGCCAGCCCAGCGCTTCCCGGGCTGCGTGGAGCCAGGGTGGCTTTGCTTCCTGTCTGTATCGCTGCACAAGTTTGGGTGTCAGGATGCCTAAAAGAATTTGGCCAAGATAGTATTAGACGTGCAAGGAAATTCTTAGGGAGGGAGCAGGAGAAGGCCGGGAGACCTCAGACCAGTGCATCTCGGAAGGACGCTGGTGACAGGCGAGATGGCGGAGCCTGGCCAGGTGACTGGGGGGCATCTGAAGCCTCAGAGGCCAAACACTCGCTCCCTATTTAAATAGAAACGTGTTTTCCCTCCCCACATTCCTAGAAGGGGAGGCTTCCAGGAATGACTGTAAATTCCTGTCCCTTGAGAAGGCCTTGTGCTCAGGGCCTAGCCACCAGCTCTGGGACACAGGCAGCCAGAGGCCTGGGGGTTAGAGTCAAGGGTAACAGTGAATGAAGGATAGATGGATGGACGGATGAATGAATAGAGCTGGGAGAACACAGAGGCAGCTTACTATGTCTATCTCAGGGTGGGGAAAACCTTTCTAAGCACAAAAGAAAGTTCTGGAAAATTCTGGGTCAAGTTTTACAAGACCTACGAGTAAAAAAATGCAGACTCAAAGTTAAGACGGAGGCGTCTGCCGTGTGGGCCAGTGCAGACAAGGGCAGCGCTCCTGCTGCACAGAGAGTTCTCAGCGACGATTAAGAGGAGCACCTCAGTCGCGAGAGTGAGTGGAGACCCTGTCCGGGGGAAGAAACACAAATGGCTGGTAAACATTTACAGGGACGGTCAGCTTCAGACAAGGGGATCCCATCTGCACGTGGCAGAGTGGCTGAAACCAGAGGACCACGGACGCCCAGGGCCCGGGGCTGGCGGGGGAGCAGGCGCCCTCACGTTACTGGTGCGAGGAAGTCTGTGTCCCTCTGGCAGGCGCCATCGCAAGCATTTAAAAGTGTACCCGCCCTTCACCCTTGCAACTTCCAGGAGGTGGACAGGTACCCCAAAATATGGATTCAAGGATATCCTTCAAGTCTTTTTTTTATTGTAAAGAAAAGTGGAAATCCTCAGTGGAGGACCAGATCAACGGTGGCTCTCTGACAGTGGAGCCCTGGACAGCTTGAAACTGCTTGTGTAGATGTATGTTTTGATGTAGAAAACTGGCCACACTGTATCACATAAATACATAGCAGAAAAAGTGTTCATTAGAACTCGATTGTGGGCATACATTCATACATTTGCTCACGCATATACACACAGGTATAGAACGAAAGAGGTTGAAGGGAGATTTGCTGGTGTTGAATGTTTTATTATGTGTTTCTGAACTTATTTATTATAATCAGAGTCAGCTGCTCCCACTTCGAAGATGGGAAAACTGAGTCTTGGAGTGAGCAAGAGACACCCTGGGGCTAGGCCTCCTGTCTCTGGGCTGCCCCTGAGACCCTTCGGCCTAGTTTTCCAGCCCACTAGGGAGGTCCCAGCCTCTGAGCTGAGCGCCCTGGCCGCCTCGCTCTGCCCCTTGACAGGAAAGCTGGCCTGATTACAAGGCCGGGCCACGTCTTGTCTGGGGTGACCAGAACTTTTCAGAAGTGCCAGAAATTTCATCACACCAGGCTGAGGGATGGGCGGGGGGTGAGTCACAAGTGAGCGAGGCCACAGGAGGTAGGGGCTGACCATTCCCAGATGGAAGGTGTCAGCCGGGCAGCTTTCCTGGAATAAGTAGACATCTTGGGAAAGTGTAGAGAAACCCTAGAATGAGGGAAAAAATTTAGCAGCCTCCCCCATCTCCTCTCCCCGCACATCCCACTCCATGTGCTTTAGTCCCTCCAGCCACTCTGCCAAGGGGTCACCCAGTCACTGTTCACACCCCAGGGATGGGGAACTCACTGCCCCACTACAGAGTGCTCCTCTCCTGCCTCTGGAAGGGCAGGGAAAGCATGTGGACTCTGCACTCGGGCTACTCTGGGCTGGGGCCCTAGCTAGGCCACCAAGCCTCAGTTTCTCTGTCTGTAAAATGGGGGTAAGACTACCTACTAACTCTAGGGTTGTTTAGAGGACCACACAAATTGATCAGTGCAGGCTGCCTATTAAAATGCTTGGCACTCAGTGTATGGTTAACAGATACGAGTTTATTTTTCATTCCAGTCCATGTGCCCTTTATTTAAGGCCAAGCACCCTTGGGGAGAGCCTGGGTGACATGAAGACTAACCCCTGAGGGCTAACCCGGCGTCCAGAGTGGGCCTGGGAAGTGCTGGCACCAGGCTTGGTAGGTGATGTCGCCTCACTGAAGCTCATGCTATTTAGCCAAGACTCTTAGGTGCAAGTAGTAACACCCCAGTTTAAATTGGCTGATGCTCCAAAGGGAATTCATTGGCCCGTGGAACCGAAAAATCCAGGAATGGGATGGCTTCAGGCCTAACAGGCTCAGGGCTTAGTGTGTATGAGAGCTCGCTCCTCCTTTAGTGAAGGTCCGGGCCAGGCGTGGCGGCTCCACCATGCTCAGGGGTGCCTTCCGTCCAAGCGTGACTTCCACCTGGTATACAAGGCAGGGCCCTGGCTCCGTGTCCACCCTCAGGCCCTCGCTTCAGCCAGCAGGAAGGGGAAAGGGAAGGGAGAGGCCACACCACCTCTGCCCCCATTCAATGGCCTCAAACTGCCACAGTCCTACCGCTGCCAGGGAGGCTGGGAAGGTAGTCTGGCCAGGCAGCCGTGGGCCGGTGTCACGTTTCTACAATTCTTAGGTGAAGAGTGGGGGTGGCTGATAGTGTCGGTCCCAGGTGGCCCGGCACCACGGTGGACGGAAAGGCAGGGAGGTGGGGCAGTTCCCAGTGCAGTCAACCTTTCATTGGTTTGATGAGTAGGATGCTGGGGGCTACGGATAGTGGGTGCCTGGGTGATGAGGCTGGAGAGGTGGGGGTCCAGGCCAGAGTGGGCCTGGACCGCGTCCTAGGGGCTGTGTGCCCGCATAACTGCGCTCCATCCGTGCCACCTGCCAGCAGCTGCCTGGCCACCCTGGGACCTGGGGTGTGTCCACTGGTGGTGTGGCCCACTCCTGGGTGCAGGAATCAAGGGAAGAGGCCAGCATGGGCCCTGGGACTCAGGGCTGTTAGAGCAGGGAGTTCCAGGGGCCCCAGGGGGGCACGTCCCCAGTCTACAGCCTCTTCGCCCCCTGGGGAGGGACGGCGTTAGAAGGCTGCAGGGAGGCTGTGTTTTCCAAACTTGGCAGCACCTTCCAGGCAGCTGGGGCTTAAAAAAATACTCATGCCCGGCGGCACCCTCCAGAGACTCAGATTTCACTGTTGTGGGGTAGGGCGTGGATGCGGGCATTTCGCAGAAGCAGAACGTCCCCGGGAGAGCCTAGAGGATGGCCTTATCCTCAGGCTCAGGTCGGCTGTGCTGCCCGGGACTTTGCTGAGCAGAGGGGTGGTAGGCAGTGCCGTCCCAGGTGAGCGGGGGTGGGGTGGGGGGGTGGGGCTCTGTCTGAAAATCCCTGCTCATCAGCTCTGAATGTCCTTCCCATCTTGATGGAACATACCGGAGCCTGGGTGGGCCCAGACACGCGCTTTCCTAGCCTCCTTTGCAGCTGGGGACAGACGGCTGCCCCACATCAGATGCTGAATGTGGGGCAAGAGCTGTGACGAAGCTGGCCCAGCGCAGAGCCCACCCTTGGGGAAAGGGGGGTCCCCTGGGCCGTCGGAGGCCGCAGCGGAGGAAGAGCTGGCAGGAGCGCAGGCCCATGGCTCAGGGAGCCGGTGGCCGCACGCTGTCTCCCAGGTCCCAGGCATGCAGGAGGGTCTGGGCACCGCTGCTGGCTCTTGTCAGTCTAGGCTGTCTGCAGTCAGCACCAACAGCAGCACTGAATCGAGGGCTCACCCGGTGCCAGACCCACTCTGAGCATCTTCAAAACAGTCCTGTGGGGCAGGACTACGTTACAGACGAGGCCACGGGGCCAGAGGCCTGAGCCACCTGCGGCATGTCACACGGGGGTGTGGCTTTAAACCAAGGTCCTTTGGCCTCAGGGCCTGTGCTTCTAAGCCCCGCGTGGCGGTTGTGTGGAGCATGGGGTTATTACTATTGTTACGGTTTCTCAGGTGTCAGGCGCTGCCCCGTGACCCACTGCGGGCTACCCGGCGAGGACGCAGACCCAGGAAGCCCGGCGGGCCTCCTCTGCCCCACCTGGGCTGACCCGGGGTGCAGGGGAGCCCCACGCCCACCAGCCCTGGCGCCTGGGTGCCCGGGAGGCTGCTGACATTGCCACCGACGTGAGAAACGCCACTGCCCACTCCGAGCACTCTTATCGCCCTGGAACTTCCTCCAGCTGCGTCTCATCCGGGCCCCAGCCCCCAGATTCCTGGTGGGTGATGTGCACTCTGTCTGTGATAACAGCCCTGGCAGGGCTCCGAGGGGACGGCTGCCTCGGTGCACCTCCAGCTCAGATAACGGAGGATGGGGAAGTAGCTCCACTTTATCTCCCGGAAAGCTGGCCAAGCCTTGGGGGCGGGCAGGAAGGGGAGGCCAAATCTCAGCTCAGGGCCTCTCCCCCCGACCCAGAGACCTGTAGCGGGAACGAAGCACATCGGGGCAGAGAGTCGGCCAGGCTCACGTGAGGCAAAGCCCGGCGCCTCTCAGGTCTGCCGACAGAAGGCAGGACTCAGTCTGTCACTCCCTCAATTGTCAGATATTTACTGGGCACACCCTGGGGCCGAGCCCCGTCCAAAGGACTTTTCGATCTCAATTCATTTACTCTTGCCAACAACCCCAGGAGATATTCCCTGCTGTCATTCAGCTCATTTTACAGTTGAGCTTATCAGGGCCCAGGGAGGTCAGGGGACTTGCCCGAGGTCACACAGCTGCTGGGTGGTGGCGGTCTTACCAGCCGTCTTACCTGTGGTCACTGACAAAGGAATGTTTAGAAGGCAGCTAGTGACAAGGACTCTGAGAAGCAGGGAGAATAAGGAGTGGCCGTGGGAGGGGCAGCTGCTGTCCCCGCGGGGGTCTGAGGCACTGCACCTGTATCTAATCACGGGGGAGCCAGCCATGGGGACGAGGGGGAAGGGCACTGCAGGACAGCAGAGAGGAGAGCCAGTGCAGAGGCCCCGAGGGAGAGCAAACTCCAGTGGGGAAAGGGGCCCGAGAGCAAGGGCTTGCCCAGGGCGGCCCAGAAAGCCAGCGGCCTGGCCCAGGCTCTCAGTGCAGGCTTTGGTGCCTCCTCTGCGGCCAGCCCCGTCCAGACCCCGGGCACCTCCTGGCTTCCCTTCCTCCCAGCTGTGTGACCCTGGGCAGGTGGCTTCCCTCCCCTCTGCCTTTGCTCCTGGCTGCCTCCTCCCAGTCCTGGGCTCTGGGGGTAGGAGGCGGGCACTCTCTGGGCACGTGGGTGCTGCCTGGGTGTGAGGTGGCAACCGCTGGGCCATGTGTCCCCTGGCAGGGATGGAAGGTGGGCCCAGAGGTATTGGTCTAGGCCTCAGGTCCTAGAGAATGTGGCACCTCAGGACCCAGAGAGACACAGAGACCCAGAACAGTGTCGGAGGGAAATGCACAGACCAAGAAGGCCAGAGTAAGGTGGAGAGACAGACCTCAGCGCTGAGATGGAGACAGAGGGAGACACAGAGAAGGAGGGGCAGGGTGGGTGAAGAGTCAGACGCCCTGAGAGAGACAGGAGACGTGGGCCTTCCGAACGAGTGAGACGCCGAGAGATACAGAGAGACGTTGATTCACGCAGCAGAGAGAGGAGAGGGAGTGGCTGAGAGAGGATAAGAGACCAAGTTGAGAGCGCTCGAAATGCCACTGAATTGCACGCTGTAAAGGGTGAGTTTAACCACATTAAGAAGAGACAGAAAGCAATAAAAACGAAGATGGCAGAGAGACAGATGGACGGTCAGACTTCCTGGACCCCGACTCGCTTTGGGCTCGACTAGTCTTCCGGACCCTAAGTTGGTGGAGGGAAGGGATGGGGTGTGGGGTCCCTGAGCCCAGGCTGCAGGCCTGCCCTGGGCCCAGTGCCCCTTTCATCTGGGCTGCTCTGGTGCTTGACATGTGCCCTGCTCTGGCAGTACCAGATTTCGCGTGTGTGGGTTTTGAGCCCTAGGCCAGGAGGAAGGCCCTGGGAGGCCCTGGGAAGGCAGCCTGTGCCCCATAGGGCCTCTTACCAGGCACAGGCTCCAAGGCTGCCAACCCTGGGAGGGGACACTGGTGGATGCCCCGTCCTGCCTCCGCGGTGGGGTCAGTCACAGTACTGGCAACTTGCTGGGCTTGCTGTCTGTGGGGCCCTGTGCTGAGGACGTAACACAGGGTTCTCCGTGGCACCCCACCCACGGCCCAGGGTTAACCTGCTCAAGAGATGAGGAGGCTGGGCTCAGAGAGGTCAAGGGCCTTGGCTGAGGTCACACAGTGGCTACAGGCAGCTCTGTGGGCGCAGGAAAAGGACCATGTGGGCCAGGGGCTGGGGCCCTGATGCCACCTGGCCAGGTGGCCTGTGGGAGCCCCGGGAGCAGGCAGCAAGGGGATGAGAGGTGACCCGGGCTGGGCCTGCCTCTCGTCACTGTTACTCGCAAGCCCCTGAGGCCCTCCCAGTGTGCCCAGGCCCATCTTCCCGGTGGGACGACTGAGGCCAGCGGCTGAGGCGGCGGCCAAGCCCAGCGGCAGCAGGCGGCGTCCAGACACGCGTAGACGGCGGCGAGGG